GAGAGCCCGGTACGAGCCGAGGTGACGACAGCGGTTGGAGAGGACGCGGTGGTTGAAAGAGAAAGGGCATTGGAAATGCGTTCGAAGCTGTCAACGTCGTATAGATAGTCCCCGGGACGACTGAAACTGGCCATGCGGACAACCCCAACACCACCACCGAGGCGACGAGAATTCATATTGCCCTGAACACGCCAACAGGCAGCCTCGGGGTCGTAGACCTCAACGGACTTGAGGTAGCTCGCACCGTCGAAGCCACCAATGGCTATCAGTTGGTTGCCCACAACTGTTAGTCCCACCTATGACAAAGAAGCAAAGACAAAGGTGGCATTTAACGCAACAGGTCTTCTATCTAAAGAGTAAAGCAAATGGGAAATGAAGTTGCACAGGTATGATGTTAGAACGTAGGCGGGGCGGGTTGAAGAGGCGATAAATTAGAATGCCGCAAAATTCATATAAAATTATAGTGGGAATTAGGAGGGTGGAGAATAAGGTTAGGTAAATAGAGTGACAATGTAGAAAGTGCAGAAGCTGGTGGGGAAGAAGTGGGGACAAGGATTTTCCGCCTACCTAAAATACGCGGCCATGAGATACATTTATGTAAGGGTAAATAATGTAGTGTCTTTACCCTAACATAAAACTAAACTGTAACCCTAATCTTAACCCTATCGGTTTCCTAAACCCAAACATGGCTCTTAATACAATCCTGACCCCCCACCCTAACTGAGACCTTAAATCCAACCTTAAACTTAATCCTAACGCTGACCTGAACCCTAAACCCAATTGTCCCCAGAATTCGGCGCAAAGCCGCCTGTCTTGTGGGGCGATTACTGGTTCCGTGTCCTGTCTGGGGGGGCCAAACAAGTCCCCCTTAGACATCGCTCATGAGAACCTCGAATCTGTCGTGTAGGCCGACGTAATTTGCCTGTATCTGCTGATATGCAATCCCGTACAGAGACCGCATGGTCACAGGACAACTCTGGTTTCTTACACAATCACCGCGTGAAGATGATATATTT